GCTCTCGCGGTATCGATGTTAAACGTTTAGAAGCAATTTCAAAGCTTGCTTGCTCTTCTGTTAAGTAAATAAAGACTTAGGGTCAGCCTAAAAGAAAAGCTAATCAGATTATATTCACTGGTGGCAGATTTAGCTGTGCATAAAATTCCCTTATGAAATTGTTCTGCCCTGGACCATGGTCTCGCCCTGCTGGATAAAAGAATACAAGATGTACTGCGGGTTCTACATTGGGAGATGTTATTGTCCTTTTTTGAAGTGCTAGTACTAGGAAGATCTCAAGAATCATGCATTGGGAACCAGCTAGCATAATGGCTATGTCGCTGGACTCCCACGTAGTCGACCGCGGTTCACATCCCAGACCCGATGGCTTAAAACTCACACCAGGCACGTGTGCGTGTGTGCCCAAGATCCTGAGAGGAGAATGGAGGAGAAGGGATTGCGGCGTGACCATCCCCCCTGGGGGGTGATTTCTCGCTTTCTGTCTCTATGTCTCTCTCTGTCTGTCTGGCGAGCGCATGCACCCTATATCGAAAAACCTCTCCAAAAAAAAGAATCATGCATTGAAGATATCTTTAATTTATCAACTCACAAGTTTCACCTTTTAAGCAAGCCCAGGAGAAAAACAAATTCAAATTTAACATGAAGATAATGGGGAAAAACATGGCCTCTGGAGTTAGCAGACCTGGGTTTGAATCCTTCCCCTTACAGTTAGGTGGGGAAAGACATATGGAAGAGTTACTTAAGCTGTTTCTGGAACATTGAAGAATACTTCACTGCAACACGTTGGCACTTGCCACCCCTTCTCCCTGTAACTCTTATCTCCTTCACCTCCTTCAGGGCTTTACTCCGATATCCCTGGTGAGACCTTCCCTGATCACTCAGCTTAAAATGGAACTTCCTTGTACCAGTATCCTCTATCCCTCTTCTCCATTTGTTTTTCCTCTGACATATTTAGTGTGTGTGTGTGTGTGTGTGTGTGTGTGTTGGTGGTGGAGATGGTGATGTTTTAGACAGGTTCTTGTTGTGTCATGATCCTCCTGCCTCAGCCTCCCTAGTAGCTGGGATCATAGGCATGTGCTGCTTTTCAGGGGGCTGGGAATTAAACTCAAGCCTCCCATGTGGCCTCAGCTTGCCAAGTTGCAATGTGCAGTGCACGCTGCCACAGCTGGGCCTGTGTGTTCTCTGCTGCCCTCTGTTCCCCCAATCTCTTTGGTGTAAACACCTAATTATCTGATTTCTTTACTGCTTGATCCCCAGGGCCTAGAACAGTACCTGGTAGATACTCAGTGTTAATGAAATATATGAGTGATCAAATGATTTAATTTCAGGAACAGGGAGGAACATGTGCAGTAAGCCCCAGTGGCCAGAACAGAAGGTATATTAGGGACTAAATTAGTTTTCTATTGCTACTGTAACAAGTGATCATAAACTTAAAACAACACAAATATGTTACTGTTAAGTTCTGTAGGCCAGAAGACTCTCCCATGTCTCATGGGCTAAAATCGAGGTGTTGGCAGTGCTGTTCCTTCCTGAAGGCTACAGCAGAGAACCTATCACCTTGCCTTGGCCAACTTCTGGAGGCTGCTTGTGTTCCTTAGGTTAACTGTGAACGTGATGGGGGGCCCTCACATCACATCACTCTGACCTGTCCTGCCTCTCCTTCTACACTTAAGGACCTTTGTAATTATGTTGGACCCACCTGGGAAGCCCATGATACTATTCCCTATTTATTTATTTATTTGTCTTTAGAGGTTTTTGCCTTAGGTCGTATGTGCTTGCTGGAGAGACGGACAGAGACAGTGAAAGGGAAAGTGAGAAATCACTCCCCTGGGGGCATGACCATGCAGCAATCCCTTCTCCTCCACTATCCTCCCGGGATCTTGGGCATGCGTACACGTGGGCCCAGCATGAGTTTCAAGCCACCAGGTCTGGGACTTGAACCACAGTCAGCCATGTGGGCATTCAGTGATGTAACTGCTACACCATCTGCTGGCCCCAGCACTTCCCTACTTTAAGGTTAGTTTATTAGGACCCATAATCCCATCTGCTACTTGAATCTCCTTTGCCACGTAACCTAACGCATTCACAGGTGTGGGGGATCAGAATGCGGATATCTTTGGGGGCTTATTCTTCTGCCTACCATAAAGACTAACAACTGAGATATTTTGCACAGAGCCTAGGGCTTGAGGTGCCAGTTCTGAAACATAAAGAGAAATATTTAATCATGAATGACTGTGACTGTGAAGACTTAGGTTTTACCTAGGAAGTGGTGGGAATGTGCTAAAGGCTGGAGCTTGTGACTGAGGTGATCAAACTGAGACCTTAGGAGAGGAGTATGGGCTTAGAGCAGGCATCTGGAGGGAGACTTGATTTCTCTCCCCTCTTTGACGTTCTGAAAGCTAGGTATATGTATTTAGGTTCTTCCTAAAAGACACGGGATACATTATCATTGTCTTTTAAAACACCAACCTGCTACACCGCACAAATGCACAGCGCATTCACAGGCAGACCCAGGAAACCCTGTTACACAGATACTCACGCAAGCACTCACTCACTTATTCATCTTATTCTCGGGATCTCTTTTCTCTCTTTCTGTGGCTTTCATTTTTTTTTTTCTGCCCTAGTATACTTGTTTATAAATTGTCCCAGCAGTAACACAGGTTTACCTGGGTAAGTGGTGTTCAGGGAGGTCAGTTTATAAACCTGTAAACATGTAAGAATCTCCAGGGAGATACACAGTTGTGGTATCCCTTACCAGAAATGCTTGGAACCAGAGGTGTTTGATAGGTTGGATCTTTTTGGCTTTTGGAAATATTTGAGTATATTCAATGGTATATCTTAGGGATGAGACCTGAGTCTAGACACAAAATTCATTTGTTTCATGTGTACCCTATTCATTGGGCCTGAAGATAATTTATACAGTGTTTTTGTATTACAGTGTTTTCATTGTGACCTATCACATAAAGTCAAGTGTGGAACTTTTCACTTAAAATCTCATGTCAGCATTCAAAAGTTTTGGATTTTGGAGTGTTTTAGATTTTCAGATTAGAGATGTTCAACCTGTAGTGTGAAAAATACGCCCTTTCTCCCCTTTACCATCTCTTCCACACACACTGGCCATGATTTGAAATAATTTCTTAGGATGGCTCTTCTCCCTGGCACCTATTGAAAGGGTCACAGATGTTGAACACCGGGTTTTGAATTTGTCTGATGAGAGTATCTCACCCTTTGGTTAGTCATTTTAAAGTAACATGTCCAGGGCCAGCAGTTGGCATGGTGGTTGGGTCACTGGACTCTTCCACGGTTGACCACGGTTTGAGTCCCTGACCTGGGGGCTTGTTTTCTCACCTTCCCTCTCTCTCTCTCACTATCTTTCTCTGGTGAGTGCATGTGCCCTATAGCACATTAAAACAATAGTAATAAATAAAATTAAATAAATAATTCTTTAAAAAAATAGCATGTCCAGTAGAAATTTTTACAATGCCGTAACTGTTTTATATCTTTCTCTCCAATGTTGGCTCTTAAGCTACATGAGGCTCTTGAGCTCTTAAAGCATGGCTGGCACAGCTGAAGAACTCACATTTTTATTGTATTTCATTTAAATTCATTTAAATGGGAAGAACCACACCTGGTTGGTAGCTACCATGTTGGACAGCACAGCTTTAAAGAATTAAGACTTGCTGAGCATGCTGAAACCATAACAGTGTCTGGAGCGAGTAGAGTGGTATATGACACAAATATGACCTTTTAGAATCAAACAGACCTAGGTTTGGATTTGGCTCCAAGCTAGTGATTTCTAGGCAAGTCACTTAACTTGAGTCTGTTGTCAGCTACAAACGGGCTATGATCAGGGAGGAGGGTGGTAGGCACCCTCTGACCTAGAGGGGGAAGAGCTTTCTCTTGCTTTTATTCTTGTCTTTATAGAATATCCATATAGACAGTATGCCTCGGCCCTCTCTGCCTGACCTAGGGCAGACTACTCCATTCCCTGCTCATATTGCCTTATTGGGTATGATCTCACATACATAAAAGAGCATGTGAAGATAAAATGCGATAATATTACTGAAATTAATATTTACTGAACTGTACTGCATATATGGTTTTTAGTCATTCCTTTAACAAGCACTGACTGAGCACCTTCCACATGCCAGGACACTGTGCTAGGTGCTCTCTAGCAGAAGTCGCCTTCCAGAATTGTGTAACCAGCATCACAGTCAATTTTAGAGCATGTATCACCTCAGAAAAAAATTCTTACCCACTAGCAGTCACTCCCCAATTTTCTCCAATCCCCCTAGGCCTTGGTAACTACTAATCTACTTTTTGTCTCATGAATTTGCTTATTCTGGAAATTCCATATAAGTGGGATCATATAACATGTATTCTTTTGTGCTTGACTTCTTTCACATAGCATGTTTACAAGATCCCTCCATGTTATAGGATCTATCAGTACTTATTGTTGAATAAGATTGTTGTATTGATATGCCATATTTTACCTATCCACTGATCAGTTGATGGATATTTGAACTGTGTTTTGTTTTTTGGCCATTGTGAATCATGCTGCTATGAACATTTGTGTAGAGGTTTTGACTAAACATATGTTTTTATTTTTGTGTGTGAGGGGTACACATGTACCTAGGAGTTGAATTGTTAACAGGGTGACATTTTCTAGTAATACAGTGACCCTATGTTTAACCTTTTAGGGAACTGCCAGGCCATTTTTGCAAAGCTGTAATATTTTCGTTCTCACCAGCAGTGTGTGAAGGTTTGATTTCTCTGCATCCTCACCAACACTTGCTATTATCTGTTTGTTTGGTTATAGCCATGCTAGTAGGTTTCACTGTGGTTTTATTTTGTATATCCCTGAAGACTAATGATGTCAGCCATGTCTTCATATGCTTATGGGCCATTCATATGTCTTCCTTGGAGAAATATCTTTTCAGATCCTTTGTCCATTTTTTAATTGGATTGTTTTCCTTTTTCTTTTAATTTGACCCGTACAGGATGCTGACATGCTGACTGGTGATGAGCAAGTGTGGAAGGAAGTTCAAGAATCCCTGAAAAAAATTGAAGAACTGAAGGCACATTGGAGTATCCTTTTAACTATGGATGAGTTGGATTGTTGAGTATGGCCTTCTTTTTTGGTTGGATCTTTGTCTTAATGAGACCAAAGGGGTTAGCATTCCTAACCCCAGCCAGCAATGTGAGTAATGGGTAGGGAAGATGATAGTGAGATCAGCATGATCACCATTAGGTAATGATTAAAATTGTGAACCAGTAGTAGAAAGTGAGTAGTTGTCTCTGTGTGCATAAAAGGTAACACAATCCTAGATTCCCTTCCTCCCATAACCTTTCTACAGCTTGGAATTCTAATAATTAATGTCACTGAACCTCAGACCTAGAAGCTTCATATTAAATTGGCCATGCCTACAATGGCAATGGGGATTGTGGCAGAGTAAATTTTTCTGGCATAAATGGTAAGGATCGCAAGAGGGTCAAAGTTGAGAGTAAGGGAGGATGCCTTATGATGGAGGCCATCTGTGATGGTTCCATTAATATTTTGCTGTAGGAGAGAGATCATGAGCCAGGAACAGGATTTGGATTGACAGGAGCTTGGGTGGTAGGCAGTGTAATCCCAATAAAAAGTTCAGTTAAGCAAAAATGTGACAATGAGAAATCACAAGGTAAGAAGAAAAAGACTTAAGACATCTTCAATTTTTTGGTTATATGATACTTTGTAATGAGATAACCTCATTTCTTGTATTTTGGTTTGCTATTTTGCATGGGACTTATAAATAGTCCCATATAACATTACAAGTTATGTCACAACATTAT